CTTTACACTTCTTTATGTTTACTTTTAGTTCAATTCTAATTTCAATTTTCTTACGATCACCAATCGTTTATTCTAATACTACTAACACTCAATGGTTATGTAATATTAGCTATCTTTTTCCTAAGCTATATAAACCCCCAATGGTCATGCAAGACAAAAAAGTAGAGAAAGCATAAAAAGCTTATGAGTTTTTTAGTTTAAGAATCAATTGAATGAAAAAAGCTAAACTTGATCTACCTAGTTTTTTGTCTCGTTTTATCACATAAATCTATTAACTACATGTTGTATGATCACCTACAATGTAATTAATTATGATGTGTTTAGAGCCGTCAATTCTAAACATATAAGCATAAATTCACTAGAATAAAAATCAATCAAGAAAAAATAAATTGAAGTTGTTATTAAGCATAAAATTCACGTAGAGTCATGTAAAGATTTTACTATAACCCTATCTATGAATTTAATAACTCATAATGACATGAACAAAGTAAACAAATATAAAGAAAATCATGTTTATTTGAAATAGAAAAGCAAACTAGAGAAATCTTAAGAGAAAAATATGAGAGGAGTGTTTGTTCTTAGGATGTGCTCTTAATCACTTGTTATACGTCTTCACCTATTATTTCTACTCTCAAAGAGTTCCAAGAGTTATCAAAGGTTAGCCTTGCCAAAATTATATTTTTTCACAAGTCCACTTACTTCTTAAATAGATTTTTCAAAATCTTAAAAAAATATTTAAAATTGAATCACCAAATAAAAAAAAATAATCGTACACGTTAATAAGCTTTTTACATATACAATTAAAATTTTAATTACTAAATTTGCTATCAACTAAAGTTCTAACGACCACTTTAAATTGGTCTTTAACTAATTTAGTTGCTAAAATTTGTTTTCCAGTGAGACTAATTAGCTTGTTTTTAGTTATTGTTTTCATGAATAGTTCCTTCTTTAACAAATGTTTAATTCTTTATTTTTGTTATTAATCTTTCAAATTATTTAATGAATAAACAAATAAAAATTATGTTTAGAAGATATTAAGTGTATTTATTTTTAATTTACTTTTTATTAAATTTTAGAAGAAGAAGAGAGTCATTTGATTTTAGTTTTAGGTAAAATAAAGAGTTAATTTTTTTTGGGTTGAATTTTAGGCAAATTTAGGGTTGTGTTTGATTTATGAGGTTTGTTAATGTATTCATGCACATTAATTAGAGAATAAATTAATTTTACACATGATCTCTCTTACTGATTAATTTTGAGTGCTTAAATGAACGAGATTAAATACTTTTAAAATTCATAAATAATAAGTACTCGTACATTTTATTTAGTAATTTATATTACGAAAAAGAAAAATATAATATTCGTTTCCAATTCTGATAACTGAGCTATAGCTATGTAAAGCTGAAGTCGGTGGTAAGGCTTGTCTTTCTTTACTAAAGATATCTTTTAGTCAATTTTCAGAACTAACCTTTTTCAAAATAAAATAAATCATTGAAATAAATTTCGCTTCTTTTCAATAAGTATTTACATACACAATTAAAAATTATATTCTTATTAACATGCTTAGTTAACTCAATTATTTATTAACTAAACAGAATTTCACTAAATATTTTTTTAACTCAATTAAAAAGTTAGTAAGTTTGAAAGAATGTTATCAAAATATTTTTTAATATAATTTTTTTAATGCACTCTTAATTATTTGATAAAAATTATAAAAATATAAAAGAGAAAGATTAATTTAAGAATAAAATAAAATAAAATAAACCATTTTTTTTTTTTGATGAAGTGGCATTGTTGATTATTGTCTTCATTGGAATGATTACTGGGCCTTGAACGCATTAGGAAATGGATCACGATTAAGTGGCAAAATTGTATGCTTTTCACAAAGTTATGTCTCTTATCTAACGATGGATCCGCAACAATGCTACCAATCTTCATCCCATTCATTCAAATAACCTTTTCAAGTATCCCTAAACAAATATACCATTTTTACGAAGTAGACAAACTAGTCGTGCATCGTCTCTGTGACCAACGAATTGCACATTTTCATTCAAATATATATTCTCCCAAAAAAATTAAAATACATCCATATTTTTATTTATTTATACAATAATAATATTTTTACACCCATTTTTTTTATTATATTTATCCTCAATTTTTAATTATTTCACGTTTATTTTTTATCACATCATTAATCACGTTTCTATTTATTTATTTTTCTCTACTTTCTACTTTTCTCTTTTCCGCGTCTAATTTACAGCTCATAAAGAGCTGTGCAAATATCTTAGCTCTAATCTATTTACTACTATGCTTGCGATCATATTTAATCATATACTATTGCATAATTTAGGTTACTATGTTAAGATGTTTAATAATGATTAAAATATGGTCAATTGGATTAAAACTATTTAAATAATATTTTTTGAATTAATATGAGGAACTTAAACGTGATCCATTTTTAATATAATATCAGAATTTGTTTAATTTTAACGTTAAATCATTTTCACATATTTAATCATATAAACTTCACATGCTAAATGTTTAATACACAGGAGATATATCGCATAAAGTCATGTATCAGATATCCATTTCTATTTTTCCACCTCAGCTACATATTTCAATTAAAATAACGCTTAAGGGTTTGTCTGCAAAACATTTCAACACATGGCAACTAAGAGTGATATTGATATTCATGTACTTTCTCTAAAGAATGTTTTAACTTACAATAGTATTTGACAAAAGAGATGTTTCATTAAATATAAGATATAATAATTTCTTTTATCATATATGGATTGATATGAAAAATTGTATTAGATGTAAGAACTAATTTTAAAATTTAACCATGATTCTGATAAAATAAATATTATCTCTTCAAAAGTGATAAGTTAATTACTTTATCTGTTTAAACATTGTGTTAATGCTTATATTTATTATTTAATTGAGCAATAATATGTTGTTTAAATTTAAAATTTAATTAAATTTTCGAATTATATTAAACACCATGGCGTTGACAATTACTAAAAAATGAAAATAATCATAATTAACATTAGAGGAAAAGAGGAATTGATTGATTGACAAATTAAGAAGACGAATTATTTGAGGAAAAAAACCAATGCAAACTCTCGTAGAACTTTACTACTGAAAAGCCCTATCTTATCCATACTATCATATATATAAAAAAGAAGATAGATAAATTATATAGTATGAACAGATAAATAAATAAATAATAATAATAATAATAATAATAATAATAATAATAATAATAATATAGAACGACAAATGACACAGAAATTTATTAATAAAAAATAAAAATAAATTTAAAATAAATGCGAACATTAATTAATTTTTATAGGCTATAACTTTACAAAATATATAAATAAAAAATGTATTTAATTTTTTACTTTATAAATATTTTTTTAGTCTCAAATATAAGTTAAATGTAATTAAATTATAATAATTAAAAAATAATTTAAAAAATAATTTATCTCTTTTAATATTATCAATTTTATAAAAAATAAAAATTTTAACGACTTCAAAATCATTTAACAATGATTTAATATTTTTTATTAAGATGAAATATTATTAGTTAATGATTTACGTAAATGACAAAGTCAAGTTCTCACACTTAAGAAGCATCTTAACGAGAGAGAATTAAATTTTGATAATTAATTTTTTTAAAAATTAAATGCAAAATTTAAAATTAATCCACTTAAATAAATAAATTAAATTAAAACATTAATTTTTTTTATCACAAATCAAATTATTATTTTGTTTTGGGTAGCATATCACATATTAAATTTGATTTGACTCGTTTGCAGTGGTAATTATTGTTATGAACCTTCTCTGAAAACCGGCATGTTTATTAACCTTGAATTTGGATGGCCTGAATGTAGGGATGACACAGTATTCCTACTAAATACTAATCAGTGTCATCTCTAACAGTATAGGACAAGTAGTGCAGATAAATGGGTCCAACCAGCAAGGATGCCCCTTTCTCCTCTTCACCTGCCATCCTCATCAAGCCATTATTGAAGACCAGAAAAAGATGAAATTGTGTCTAAAGCTTTGATTGAACTGCTTGGTGCTTACTAGGAAAGGTTTTAAGTTGAGACGAAAGATGTAGGGTCAGAGGTTTAGTTGGATCTCAAATGTGTCAACAATTTTGTTCTTTAACGCATCATAGAGTTATATCATTCACACTATATTTTTATAATAATAATTTGTTTTATCTCTCTTTATTATCTATCTAATCACTTACTTCACTTTTTTTTATCTTTCTCTAAGTTATAATAAAAATACACTTTTTTTTTAACAAAAAGTAGGGGCTTCTAAAATTTAATTCTTCTCTCTTTTTTTTATTATATAATGTTGCATGTGACACAAGACATGGGAATGGATCATCTCATCTTAAAAGTGTACATTATAAGATTGTTAGTTTTATATTTATTTCTTTTTTTTAAAAGATATTGAACAAGTGCAATCTTATAAGAACTAATAAAAAATGAAAAAAATACAAAACTTGCACGAAAAGATCATTTCCCCAAATGTGATATACCACGAAGAAAAATGCTTAATAGTACAAATGAGCGATATACAAAGTGGCGAAAAGAATACACCATCATTTTTGTCCATATTCTCTCTTTTTCTTATTGTTATTTAAGTTTAAACCAAAAATAATAATAATTAGAGATGTGATTTGATGAAAATTTATACTGAAATCATTCGTTCTATACATCACAACTCTGCAATGCAATATGGCAAAATCAAATTGGCAAAATCAAGCTTTCAAACTGTAATCAAACACACTTAGTTTAAAGTGTATCATAATTTTAATCCACTAAAATTTAGAGGTGGATTTCTTTATAAAAAAAAGGTGAATATACTTTACTTTATCACTGAAAAAAAAATCACTTTGAAAGAACTTTATCTAGTCTCCAGACCGCTTTATTTATTGATTTTTAACGTGAACTACATGAAACTAAAATCAAGACAGCAACATAACTAACATCCACTAGCATCTTTCTATCAAACATAAAAATATCCCTGCCCACTTTATATTGCTAAGAATATTGCAGTCAAACAACAAAGTCGATGGTAAAAGGTTAAAAGGAAGAAAAGAGAGAGATTGAGAAGACATGTTGTCACAAAATAAAGTTCGTGACCTCTAGAGCACCACTTATTACTAGTACTTGGTTTGGCACTAAAGATACATTTTTAGCTTGAGGGCGAACCTTTGATAACTTTTCCAAGAACTGATGACCGTGGACTTGGTGTTTGCATTAACTTGATCTCCTTCCCAGTTGGTCCAAGGCTGCTTTCGCCCCTCAACTCAGTCACTCGAGGGCTAGGAATCCTTCGCGACAACTGAGGGCTATTAGCTGGTCTTATATCTCCTGTTGAGTTTGGAGTTGAACTTCTTGTTTTGGGGCTTTGAGTGCGGCGAATCTCTCCACGACTCCTTGTAATAATTTCATCAAGGATTTCCCCGCCACTGATATTCACCATTGTTGCCTGGCTATTTGGATCCTGCCAGGTTTATAGGCATTAAAATGTCAGTTATATGAATCACACGATGCTGTTGAACTGAGTCATTGTTGAAATAAGCTAAAAACAATTTATTTTAATGATTTTTTTTTATGAAGTTTATTGAAGTAAGTAATAAAGAATGTTTGAAAGTCATAAATTTTTTTCATAAACTAAATTAGCTCTTCCAAATACCTCCTCATTTTGCACTAATTTGATAATGACTAAGGTCAAAACTACCATGGTTCAAAAATTACTTACTTCAAAGGACATGTTGAAAGCAATGGCAGGTGCTTCTTCATATGCTGCGGCGTCCAACTCTTGAAGATGGGCTCCTTTGAAAAACTTGGGAAGAAAATATTGCCGTACAGGGACAAGAAGCATGATTAACAATGGGAAAAGGACCCCAGCAATTGGTATCCAGGTTATGCCGAAGCAAAGAAGCAAGTATCCAGTCTGGAATAAGGTGAACATGGCAACTGTTTTGAAGGGAACAGTCTCAACAAAGGTGGCATGGTATTCTTCCAGCAGTCTAGAAAAGTAGGAGAGAAAGAAGCACATCTTCAACCTCTTAAAATGAAATGCTAATACTATATTTGAGAACAAGCACACACAAGCATATGTAAATATTAACGTGGATGTATGAATAGATGTCTATGCACTTCCCAATTGAAATCAGTAACCAAATTACCATCCACAAATTTTACAAAGAAAAAAGTAACTAAAATAGTGAAAAAGATAAATGATGTGTACTAGAATTAGTAAGCAGACAAAGGAAGGAATTCTTGGACAGTGTTTAAATCCATAAGTCCTTGAACTATGGCAATGGCAAAATTGACTATGAGTATTGACATACTTGTATCTTCGACTTGGAGCGGTGAAAAGATACAATATTCTCTCCCAAAACTGATTTCCTGGCAAGCTTTCAATTGCCATGAAGGCAAAATAACCCCAAAGCACTGAGGTTGGTATCTTCTTCAAAAGTGGCATAGCAGCAACACAAGCCCCAACCATCAATGCCTGCAGTAGATTGCTGAAGCGCTGCTCTTTAACTTCAACTGGCAAAAGGTCATCAACATCCTTATTCACATCAAAGACAATCTCATCAATGGGAGCATCAATGTATCCATGACTTGAAGCCAGTTCAATGGTAGATTCCTTCAGCTCTTTCAGCCCCTACATGAAGAACAAAACCAAGGATAAAGAGAAAGAAGATCTCAAATTTCAAATCAATTGGAAATCATAGGAGTAAACTTACCAAGGTAGGTGGCATTTGGGGAACCAGTGGAGTCTGCATTTCATCATATGCTTCTTTCATACTTTGATATAACTGACTCAGGTTAACGTTTTTCCGCATGCTGTTTCGTGCAGTAGATACAAGCTTATTCCGCAAAAGCTACTCCAAACAAAACAAAAAGGCATGATAGTTAGTTAGCTTAGCTATACATAGCAAGACTAAAAAAATGGGTGATAGGTAACAAATAACAATTTGTCTATACATAGCAACAAGTCATATTTGATAGCTTTTTACAATTGATAATAAGAGATTAGTTGTAACCTTCCAATCATTTCTTATTCTTTTTTATAAACATTTTATAGTTCTCTTAATTTTAAAACGAAAACTAAACTGTGCACTAGGGGCATGCATAATAAGATAAAGTAAAGATATAAAAACAATATCCAAGACAACTATAATCATTCAACAACAAATCTGGGTGAAGTCTAAGCAAAACTATAAGATGGTTAGGTTCTGGTAAATCTGAAAAATGAATGATGATTATCAGTTGAGATATATTATATTCAAAGGTCAGTAAAAATTAGATTACCTGATGTTTTAGAGTAGCTAAGCTCTTTGTATGCATTGGAGATTGTGGAATCACGCCATTTGAAGGAGGGATTCCAATAAGCCCACACAATATGGTCTGGCCATCAATGAATAAGAATTTAAGATGTAATATTTGCTAGATGCAGTAGAGACAGGTTATCTATAGCAATTAGGTATTGAAATTGAATTTCATAGTATTTTAAAGAATTACACACCAAAAAGCCCAAGAGCAGCAAGTCATAATGATAAGATGAGGGTTTTCTTAGATTGAACTCCTTCTGCTGAGCAAGTTGTGATGCAACACTATGATCAAAGTAGTAAAGCACAGCAATCATAGTTGCTGGTATAAATGCTCCAACAATATATAAGGGGGGCACTTTCAGCATTTCCTGCAAAATGTAACAAAAATGAGCAACGAACCATGCTTCCTTTGCACGGGGCAAAGCTAGAATTTGGCTTTCCATATAGTGCCATTATCCACTATGTACTATAAAAACAATATCCACATTGTGTAGTCAGAATCACCTTGACAACAGTCCAATTTGAGTATGCACCAGGAGACCATGGGTTTGGACTGAAAAGTCGCCTAGGGATTCCCCTTGGAACCTTATTGACAGGTATGTAAGACACAGCAGTCCATACGAGAATCATTAGTGGGACTCCATAATCAGCTATAAATCCCCTTAGCCAACCTATAATATAACCATATAAAAGAATGAAAATGTTGATAATAGAAGTTGTTTTACTGCAAAAATAAATTAGAAGATTGCATCGAGGCAATATTTGAATAATGAGATAAAAAAGGAAACAGAAGGAAAAATTAGCACTTGAAGACATAAAATTGGTTTCTCTAAAATAATTCCAAACTTGTGATCTATCTTGAAATGTAACTCGAATTCCCTACTGAATTTTAAGATCAGAACTCAGAAGCTTATCAATACCTGTTCCGTAACGCCAGGATCTAGCCTTACGACTTCGTAGACCAGTAAAAAGAAGACCAAATGACAAAACTAAGGCAAACATTCCATTGCCAAACAGCCAAGAAGATTGGAGTGCAATTTGATTGGTGCCTTCTGCTTGGTTCTTGGGCACACAAAACTCTTCCACAAGTCCCTTTAAAATAATATTATTACACATAAGTTTCATTTTAGGTAATTATGAATGGTAGGTTCCTATTTGGGAACACATATACAAATTGCTGATTACTAAAGAAAAATTATTCACGGTTGATGCATACTCACCTTTATAGCCTGCTGCATAAAAAGCATTGCAATTAGCAAACCAAATAGTTCACCAGCAAGGCGTGTGAATCTATTGATTATGGAGCATGCACCAAGAATGGCCAGCAAAAAGAGCAACAGAGCAGTCCAAACACACACCCTAAATTAAAAAAAATGAAAATAAAAATTGAGAAGTTACTTCATTTCACCATCAATTCCCTATATAGAAAGCTAACCACTCAAGGAGTTCCAAAGATACCATCCAGTCCAAGGCAGAAATAATTTGTGTCCCAAATCCTTTCGATCCTTCGCGAAGTTATACATGAATGTGTACATCAGAACTGTTGGCTCGGCTACGCCTAGTATGAGGAGAGGTTGCCCTCCAATGATTGAGTGGATAATACCACAGAGTGCAGTTGATGCAAGAGTCTGCACAGCAGTGAGAGTTCCATCTGTATAATATAACCAAAGAACCATTTCTTAGCAAACAATAACTAAAATACCAAAAGGAGACTGAATCTGAATAATATTCTTGTACCAGTATTTCTCTCCAGTTGCTCCCCAAAAGAAATAACAGGAATTGCAGAAGCAAAAAATATGTATGTAGTTGGGGCAAGGATCCTATATAATACAACATCAAAATTAAATCATTGACAAACTTTCTAGCTGGTGTTTCAAAAGGAAAACTATAACTTGTATACAGCTAATGGGACTTTTGGTTGAAAACTGAAGGCAGCAAGTCAGATTATAACTATATATCACAATCAGGAAACTTATATCACAAACCTGGATCCTGCTCGGATTCCACTGGTCCAATCTTGTTTGTAGCACATAATTCTTGCTTTGAGGTCATTCTTAATCCCACGGAGGGGAACAAATGTTTCTTCCATGAAACTCTTGGAATACAAAGGAACTGATATTGATCTTAAGTTTTGGTTTATAGGGTAAAGAAAGGTAGAAGAAAAAGAAGAAGAATATGTAATTGGAAGGAGCTCTAGAGGTTTACATAGTTATTATAGCAGCATATTTGAAAATAGCAATACAACTCCGGGCAGGGAGACCAGAATCCTACATATCATCCTAAACAGGAAAGGTTGAAGAAAGTATACTCATTTGTTGATTATTGAGCACATCATGCCCATGATGAAGAAATTGAATAAATGAATCCAGTTGAAGAATTTACATTTCAAAGAATATATGAAGAACTTTCGGATGTATTGTTATGAATGTCAAAAGAACAAGAATAAAAAGCTCTTGGGTGTTGGATTACATATCCCAGAGAAACTCAAAGAATATCAGACAATTTATATTACAGTCAACCCTCTCCACGAAGCAGAAAATGAAGGCTAGCGTTCAGCCATGACAAAGCCTAGATCCAAAACTACCCTTTTTTCTCTAGAATATAGGAGAAGCCCTCCATATGCTAAACCAAACTTACATAGAGAAACAACACAGTGGAAGCAGATTGGCAGTGTTCAAGTTACATGGTACAGTTCATACACTCAAACTGTGGCTAATCAAATCAGTTCTGAAGGTGTAGCTATGGAGGGCAATCCAACACGATTAGCGAGAACCCATCATCATTATCACAACCTGCATTTGCTATAACATAGAAGCACTGAGAAGAATATTCATCAGCAGAACAGAACGGTCAAAGATGGGAATCTGGCATAGATTAACGAGATTCCATGACTGAGACCACGATGGGAATGATTCAGAACACTTTAGAGGATTCGGACATTGATTGAAAAGCAAAAGGTTATCTTAATCTGAGATCAAAATTACATTTTGCGGCAAGGAGACTTAAAAGCAGAACAAGAGCAGATAGAAGAAAACCAAAGTAGAACAAGAAGAAGAAAAGTTTACAGTTACATTTAAGCACTGAGATACACAAGTAGTGAACACTATCGTAGACAAGATTGAAACAAATCCACAAGGCCGAAGAGAGAAACTGAAGAATTTCGAGGATATGAAAACAATTGAAGAACAAACAAACGCTGGTGTGAGGATTTTTGTGTGACAGTGTTGGAATGGTGTGAACAATAGTTTATATAGTAAAAATCTTTTAAATGGGATTGAAGGGGAAATGGTATAGTAGTGGTAGCGGTAAGGTTGTACATGGAACTTAAATGACGTTGTGAGACAGATACGGACAGAGACAAAACAGTAAAACAAGCATAATTAAGACACCCATGAACAAGTTGTTTCGTACTTTCGGTAAACCGTTTAAGAAAATGATAGTTGGGTGTTAAAAAAATCATGACTTAACTATGTCCTGATCTATTGGACGATTTTATTATTATTATTATTAAACGGTCTATTTATAGTTTTTATTTTCTACTTAATCTCTATAAATGTCATTATTATTTTATCCCTCAAAATATTAAGAATTTCTCGTTTGATTTTCATACATATTATAATTTTTTATTTAGTTTCCTTAAAATGAGAGACTTAATAAAACAGTAATAACGTTTAGAGGGCTAAATAAAAAAATAAACAGAATAGACCATTTTATAATAAAAAAATATTTGTAGAAAAATCTTTTGTATATTGATAGATGGAATTTCATTTTGGTCATTATGTATAATGCATTTTTATATTAGGATTCCTAGATGATTTTTCTTTTTAACTAATTCTTATATATTAAGGAGCAACAATAAAGGAAGGATTTTCACTAAAAAGAAAATCAACAGTTTTAGCATCTACAAGTTAATTCACATTTTCTATTTTTCATCCTTTCTAAAAAAAAGTCAACACACTGTTTATTCAACATCATCTTCTCGTACAATTATCTATAGATACACCAAATATTTTGAAACACTAAGAAACATATAGATGAAAAAAATAAATAAAATGTAAATGGAGTAGTAAATCAAATTAATAGAAAAAGGATGAAAAATTATATGGTGATTTTAATGGAAAAACCTGAATATTGTATATAGATAGATATAATTTTATTATGTAATTAATAACCAAAATGCTTTGCCAAAAAAATATTATATTAAAAATATAAAAAATGAAACGAATATTTTTAATATTTATTTTAATTTTAGTTAATTTAAATTCAGTTCTAAGAATAAATGTTAAAGGATGATGGTTATAACAAATTTAAATAAATAAATAGTTGTTTTATAACCATCTAAAATAAAAAATATTATTTCACTAAAACTTGAATTATAAACATAGAGCGTACAGGTGTATTTAAGCTTATGACCCAATCCACTAACGCCACACATCTTACAAGATAGTGTTAGCTGGAAGGATATATAAAGGGTAGAATATGACTTGAAGTGAGCAATGTAAGAGACGAAGATAAAGTCACTTACATGTTGGCATTATATATACTAACAATTCTTGGAGAGGAAAGTAGAGCAAAGATAAGAGAGGTTATGGCAACAAGGAAAGAAGAGATAAGGACGAACTAACCAATTAACAGACATGATCGAACTCTGCTCTTGCTTAAAAAATTATTTATTTTATTTCTTTTAAAAAAACACTGTATTATTCACTGTAGTTTTTATCAGCACTGCCATTTTGAGGGGGGGAAAAAGCTACAATCTTAGAAGAGAATAGAAATGTAATTATTAATTAAAAATATTTTTGAATATGATTAGATAGTAATGTAATTTTCTTCTATTTACAAAAGTACATGAACTGGACCATTAGACCTGTTATTTTTTTTATTGATTAAAATATGAAGGCGTGACAATTTATATTTGAAACGCAAATAGCACGACGACACTCAAACTAATCGATCAGGTATTGAAATCTGCGATAGATTCATGTAATACAATGTCACACTCCATTAACTGATTTCGTTTACGATCATTTCAAGTGGTCCTGCTAACAAAAAAAAGGTTCAAGTGGTCCCAAATACAACTATAGAAATATTTTTAAGCAATTTATATATAATCAAATTAACTACACAATTTATTTATTAAATATAATTAATTGAAATTATATGATTGAATATTATACTTATTTTATATCATGTATTTATTGAATATAAAATATTGATTAATTTTTAAATTAAATATATATTAAATGTACAACTTTATATATATATAATATTATTTTTTATTCATATATGTAGTGTATTATTATTGCAATGATTTATAAGAAATTTAAAATATTATTAGATACTTTTAAAATGGCACATATTGAAATAAATATTTATATTTTCAGTTTACTTAAATAATAATTTGTTCTAATTTAGAGAACTTTGAAAATATTTTTTTTTTAAATTATTTATGTAATTTTTTCATGAAACACTTTTTATGCTGAATAAATTAACCCTAAAAAGTTTAATATGTTTGTTTAAATTTTTGGAAAAAAAGAATATAAATTCTTCGTCTACTCTTTTTAATAATTTTTTTTAAAATATAAAGATAAATCTTACTATTAATTTATTAAATATTATTTTGCTAATTATATATGTAAAAAAAAATTTGCTGCAATATATGTTAAATTTTAAATAATTGTAATATTTAAATGTGTATAATCTTCGTCCATTCCATAGTCTTATTACCTAAGAAATTATTTTGTCGTGCTCTGTTATTGTGTTTAAAAATGCCATGAAGTATGCCAAAATCAATGAAACAATTTGCAAGAACGACAATGGCAATGGAACTCCGTCTTTCTCCAACTCATAAAAAAATCCTAACATCAAATATATTTATTCAGAAAATACACTTTCTTTTGTTTACGTCAAATAACAATGTAGGAAAAATATCTTATTATGGTCCTAATGCATGGTCCAACAAAAAATCACTTGAATTTTAAATGGATTAAGAGTACAAAAAGAGTGTACAAGCCTTATATTGTTAGCCTGAAATTCATTTTGACGGAGGGTTAATAAAAGTGTATGATGATGAAAGGGCTATAAAAATTACTAAAATTGCTATGAGTATTTTTGTCAAGGAGGTGGAAGTTTATGTTATGCTTGAAGGGACTAGTTTCTTGGTTTTCAATTGACTTATAACAAAGAAAAATATGATAATGTATTAATGGAAGAAGAATGTGATAACGATGCTAAAGGGATGGAAAATATAATTAGGAAAAGATTATATGATGATAATCTTAAAAGAAAGGTAATTATAGTGGGAGAAAAGGGTTTTGATAAAGATAACATATAGGGCATTAATTTAGTAATAATAAAGATCTTAAAGATGATAGTTGTTGGTCAAAGTACTTAACTTACCATACACTTGATGAAATACCAAGTGGTGTAGCAAATAAAAATTTTGAATTGAAAATTTGTGAAGTTGGAGATATTAATTTAAAATATAGTAAGAATGAGAGAACTCATGGTGAAGCTTGTGCATCTAAAAAGGATTACTATAAATTGTATAATCCTTTTGAATAGGCTTGGCATAAAGTTTAACTCAATAGAGAAATTTAAAGAGGCAATTAAAGAGTACTCATTAGTAAATGGATGGAAATAGATATTAAAATGAATGACAAAGCAAGATGTACGAACAATAGGGTTATGTATAAGGATAGATATTCATTGACAACATTTATTAGTAAGGTTAGAGGTTTATTAACATATATATTAAAGACTTTGAAAAATAAGCACACTTGTGGCAACACATATAAATGGAAGATGACAAATTTTAAGTATGTTGCAAACAAATGGTTAATCCCAGGAGTAATAACAAGCAAATGTCTTTGGTTTGGACAATCAAGAACATGAAGAAAGAGTATTTTACTGAGATTTCTATAACTAAAGCTTTTTGGGCAAGAAGATTAGCAAATGAGAAGCTAGAAGGTAGTTATGTCCAATAATACAATAAATTAAAGGGTTCATGTGTAAAGATAACGAGAATCAATTCAAAGTTAAGTATGTTGCTACTGACTTAAAAATTACTAAGGGCAAAAAGTCTTATTTTTCATAGGATGTACATATGCTAAATGGGGTAAGAAAATGACTTTTGTCTACCATAGAGGAGATACTATGTTAAGGGATATAATTCTTACTACATATAAGCCACCTATCATGCTACACACAAGAAAATGATAAAAGAGCTCAAGCAAATTTCAGCTTAAGCTCATGACTAGCTATTGGAGACTGATTCAACACATTAGGCTAAATGTTGTTTTATTAAGTATGACAATTGTGATATATTCATCAAACTTGTTTGATGAAAAAATTTGCATGGAATATGTAGTTGTAAATCTTCTATTGTCACAAATAATAATTTACTCTAAAGTTAAGGTAAATCTTTTACCTGAATTTTGAGGATCCAAGACTTGTAAATTTTTAACCCCCTACAATCATAAAATAATAGTTCATTTTTTTCTTTTAAAGTAGAAATACTTGTAGTTGACTCGATTCTATACTTTGCAATTAAATTATAAGATTTCATTATAATCACTTTTCAAGTTGTCATAATAATTAAATTGTATAGTAATAACTTAACATCTAACATGTTAACAATACATGTCACATAACTCATTGTATTGGCAGAGGCTAAATCAAAAACTAAATTTTACAAAGACTAATTTACATATTTTTTTTATTTATATGAACTATTTTTTTTAAAAAAAAGAGTTTAATTAAAATGTCATTCAGACCATTAATTTTATAGTTAATATTTAATTATATTTTAAAATGTTTATTATAAGTTAGAAGAAAGTCTAAGGTGTTAATTTCTTTTTGAATTGTATGAATTTTTTTTAAGACTAAATCAATTTGTGTAGAACTTTCAATATAATAGTTGGCATGATAAAATTTAACATTCACATAAAAATTAAAAGTAAAATAATTTTATCAAACTAATTCTTAAAATAACTTAATTTATATATATATATATATATATATATATATATATATATATAAGTAGGTAGTAGCAGAACTACTAAATGAAATGCATAAATTAAAGTTGCAGTAAGTAAAATATAATATTAAAACATAAGAAACTAGAACGGCGGTAACACCAGCACAGATCTAGTGAGGGGAGAAGAGAAGAAAGCCGGACGATAGTAGTCCGAACAGAACCGGCTAAGAGGGAGAAGAGAGAAAAATAATTTGAAACAGCAAATTTTTATTAAAAGATTTCAAAGAAGAAGGCTTACAAGGGATTTTTTCTCTCAGAGCTTCTCTCTCTAAATCTCTCTAAGCTTAC